TCTCTCCTCCTCCTCCTCTCCTCCTCCCAGCCTGAGGCCATGCTGCCTGTTGTACACGTCTCAGCCAGACTAGAGTTGCTCTTTAAACAGAGGCCTGCCGATGGCTCTTCGTTTTACTTGTGATTCCACAAGAAATCAGCCTGTGGCAACAGTGACAGACAATCTCTGGCGTGTGTGTGTGTGTGTGTGTGTGTGTGTGTGTGTGACAGAGAAAGTGTCTGTGGTGAATAGAAAAGAGTGTGTGCATGTGGTGTGTTTCTGCTCCTCTTTCATGTTCCATGGCAGACAAAGTGAGACAGACAGCTTCCTTCTGGGCACCTAGAAAAACATCTGTCTGTAACAATCACGCTTTACATGTGTGTGTGTGTGTGTGTGTGTGTGTGTGTGTGTGTGTTCGCCCAGTGTTCCTTGTTTCTTCCAGCGCCTTGACAGATACAAGACGAGTACTCAGCCTTTACTTCACTAAACAAGTCTGTTTACTGCCTGTGTGTGTGTGTGTGTGTGTGTGTGTGTTTCAGTGTGCTCCTCCATAAAACACTCTAAATGCAGTACTTAATTGCGGATTGGCTTGTCCATGTGTATACATTCATTAGCTGGATTAGCATGATTGCTCACTAAGTAGATGAGCACACTTCACCACACACACCAGACAGCACCTTTACAGTCATTGATTGCATTACGTTTCCAAAGTTGCCGTCCAAATTAATCACAACTTGGACCGTGCTTAACAGAACTACCTGGTTTTGGATATGGAGCGCTTGTCTCTGTGAGCGGCTCAGTGACCCTGTTCTACACCCGCCTGCAGCCTCGCTGATTCTGCTTTACAGACACAAACACTGCCGATGCATAGTTGTTGCTATTACACCACTTTTCTAATCCCCTTGGAGAACTCAAACCCTCCAAGTGGACTTGAAAAGGGCCAGTCAAAACCACGCTGAGTATTTCCACCCTGAAACTGCAGCGAGCCAACGAGAGGCTCAGCAACCAGGGTTCAGACTTCTGGGGTTTCATATGAGACGAAGGCTGGAGCCACTGCCGGCGACTTGCAGCTTCCTGTATCATTAGTTTTTTACAGAATGGGTTTCCAGTTTGAACACGTACGTCTAAATTACTCCAACATTACAACTGGCCGTCGTGCAGCACAGTGTCGGTGAGCCGGTGTGCTCAGCTGCAGCTCGAGCAGGACGCTGCTTGGAGAGAGACTTCATGGATCCACAGACTCTGGAGCACAGTGGGGAAAAACCAAACTGGGCCCAAGTTGCCAGACTTTTGCTCAAGCATTGACTCTGGGACAAGCACGGCTTCATATGAACCCATGAGAAATCACGATTTAAATGAAAGCGACGTCAGTGGCATTCGTCTCTTATATTTGTTTAAATTAAATGAATAAGCTCCTGTTTTCCATCTTTTGTTTTTAGTGAAGGGTGCTCACATTTCGCTGAGGTGACTAACATGCGTTGCTACTGAATGTCAACAGAAGGAGGGGGGGATGCTTGTGGGTCTTCACTAATGCGCCAATGCACTAGCAGAGCATTCTGGGATGTGTAGTATTGGTGGTGCATGCGCTATATACCGGCAGCCAGCTCTAATAGACGTGTGATATTAGAGTTTGACACCAGAGGAACCAGCAGTGTAGAGTCACATCTCAGGAACTATGTTCATGAAAACATCTAAATATGAGTTTTCATCCATCAGCGGCTGGAGGCGGACGTTTACCATCATTTGTTTTCTAATGTGTCCTGTTTTATCTCCAGATTATGTCTTTCCAGGGTGGCCGTCCTTCTCCACCCCCTCCTCCGACGTGGACCCGCCCTCCGTCACCCTGGTGTCAGAGAAGGACAAGGACAACGCCTGGCTGTACACGCTGGACCCCATCCTCCTCACCATCATCGTGATGAGCTCGCTGGGCGTCCTGCTGGGGGCGGTTTGCGCCGGCTTGCTCCTCTACTGCACGTGCTCCTACAGCGGGCTCTCCTCGCGCTCCTCCACCACGCTGGAGAACTACAACTTCGAGCTGTACGACGGCATCAAGCATAAAGTGAAGATAAACCAGCAGAGGTGCTGCTCAGAGGCATGAGGAAAAGGAGGAGGAGGAGAACTGTGGAGAATGACGGGGAACGATGCGTCCTGTGATCCCCTGCAAAAGTGATTTCGTTCTCAGTTTGGACAAAGACAACATGATAAAGAAGCACTATCTGTAATTTCCCTCCCAGTGTCCTGTACCTAGTATCCTGCTACTCCCTTGCTCTGATGTCTAACGGGGTGACCTTCTACCCAGAGTTTCCCTACCTGTTTATGTGCCAGTGGGAACTTGTGATCCTGATGTCCCCTCGATGCTCTGAGGCCTAAAGTGGGGGAACACCCGACCCCAGGCTCCCCTACCTTCAGTCCCATTTCTCCTCCGCCTGCAGGAGAGCCTGCTCGATTCTAAAAGCCTGTGAATGAATGAAGGAATGAATACATGAATATGAATGACAGATCTACCATAGATTATAAGCCACCAACCACTGGAATGAAGTCGGAAAGAGAGAGGAGGACTACAGCACCCGAGGCAGTCTGGACATTTGGACCACAAATGACACACAGTCTGGGGTGCTTGGTTAAAATGTTGGGATTCTTCAGACGTACCCACGACTGGTACAGATGGACGACCTAAGATCTGTCCTCCTCAGCTTGCAGAAATCAAAACGTTGCAGCTTCAGACTGTTGGTGACGACTTCAGCGCCGGTGGGCCGTGTGGATGTGGGACTTTTGACTGAAATCAACACATATCAAGCGAATGCCTACCCCCTTCTACACAAAAACGTTTTAAAAGATAGTGAACCACACAACTCAAACCAATCTAGATTTCTAATGGTAAAGAAGGAAATAGGATGAGAAAGGACATTTTTTCTTTTTTTGTTTCTGAAAGTTTTAGATATGAGTTCTGTGAGTTTTGAACGTCCATTAGCTGCCACATGGCGCTCGCTTGCTCCTTTGTCTGCCCTCGGTCTGCGCTTTGTGAAACCAGTGGCATAGAAGAGTAATGGTGACTGTTTTTGTTCTGTTTTAGACTTGTGTCTGTTTGGAAAAAAAAAAAGGTAAAGAAAAGCCAGCTTCAGTTTTAGCTGCCCTGTAGAGCTCTTTTGCCATTTTTAGACTTTCTTTTAGCGTTGTGTTGGACTCCACGGTCTTAACTGTTACTTCAGTCCTTTTCTATTTTGGCACATTTTCCATGACAGATTATCAGTCTTTGCAAAGAGTAGAGGAAAAGTAAAATAAGATGGAAGACAGAAAACAGAGGTTTATCAAAATCTAACATGCTGTTATGGAGTCGTGCTTTAGATTCAGTATTCTAGAGTTTGTTTTTGGTATATATCTATATTTTTTTGCTTTTCAGACTGTATGATGCCCAAATGATGGACAGACACTGTGTGAACAAAATGTCAGTGATTGTTTTATTGCAACCTATGGATTGCCAAAGAGCTGTGTATGTGCACGGTGGGGCTGGACAAGTGTTCAGAGAGGCTGGCTGGACTAAGAGTGATGAACCATCCTGCTTTTTATCCACCACTCTTGACCTCACCCCCCTCAATGAAGGCCGCTCAAAAATGGGAGAAAACAGAATGACTAAAGGAGGAGAATGGAA